TAATCTAAATTAAAGTAAATTATATTTAAAACTTATCTCTGGTTGTTATAGCTTAGTAATTAAGATTCTCGTCAAAAGACAACTTAGTAAATTTCAAATAAACGGTTACAGGACACGAAACCTAAAATGACTAAATTTGGAATAAAATATGAGTTGATTAGCATTGCTATTACAGCTTTCTCTTGTAATTCTACTATCTTCTCGATATAGTTGGTTTGCTTACAAAATTAAATTAGAACTGTGTTAATATACTATACATGAATAAAAGAATTCGTACTTTAAAACTTTTGAAAAATTACATTATTTAATAAAATTTTGTTAGTATGACTAAAAAAAAAAAATGAATAACAACTCGAACACTCTATTCATCCATTACTTTGACTCAAAAAGTTTATTAATATCCGAAACTATAATATTTCTACTTAATATCAACGCAATTACATCTGTTCACTCAAACTAGATTAGTGATTTTCTCTAGAAAATAAAAATAAGTAACAAGATTTGCGCAATAACCAATTTTCTAGTTAAGTATGAGGTTAGGGCACAAGTACTGTGCATCAAGCGTCAACACAAATACTTGACTTGTACTTACTTAACCGTTTGATGACTTACATGAGCACATAAACTATTCACACTTAGAGTTTTCTCATGACATAAGTGTACAGTTTCACTATTAAAAGTGTTTCTTCATCTCTAATATCCATTGACCATCCTTCAAAGTTCTGTCGATAATAAATATAATATTGAATATAAATTGTTCTCATATCATATGTCTGTTTTATTTCTTGTTAACAAGATGATTAAGTTTGGTTGTATTGCCTTTATAATTTACCCGAAAGTGTTTTTTGTGTGTGATTTTATACCTGCTTTGATATCTGTATGTGATTATGGTTTAGGCAAATACATCAAAGTTGAAGCGTGAAAGTTTATTACTTTGAGATTTTAATTTCACAAGATATTTCATGTTTCTATAGAAAATTATCATTTCTTATGGCTTCGTTTGTCGTTAAACGCAAAGCTATACAATGAACTATTTGCCGTGCCCACCGCTGGTATCGAAACTCGATTCATGGCGTTATAAGCATTCAGATTTACCACTTAGCCACTGAGGGATTCTGATAGCTTCAATAGGTTAGTTCAAGTACTTCGATGTTATAAGCTTTTACTTATTTTATGTTTTTTCGCGCCATCATGCCAGTTGAATTAGTATCTGAGGTACTTGATTTATTTTTATTATAACCTCAAAAAATTAATTTAAGAATTTTTCCTGCTATATGTTTGTCCATTTTACTTTCTTCGCGACATTATATGACCTAAATTACCATCCTAATAATTTCCATATTAGTGTTTAATGTTTCAATGAATCACATTTTTTTTTGCCTCTCAACTGATTCATAATGAACGAAAGGACGTTGCAAAATCTTACAAATTTTAGATTACGCAAAGTTTATTATTTTTAAACGTATGCATAATTGTATGTGTTCGCTAGAAATAAAGTACATTAGCTTAACTTCCTTCAAAATAACGTTTAGGTACGATAGCAGTAAGTGTTTCGCTTTCTTTTTTCTTCAAAAGCTTGTAATTCTAATTACACGCTTCACAAAATAATACAAAAAACACCTAAAGGTTCATCCGATATTTGAATTTTCATTAAATAGTGTTCGTATGTTTAGAAGTTCAGTTTGTTCGGTTAATCTAAAAATAAGAAGAGACAGATAGAGTTTTTCATATTTATTGGTTCCCAAATTATTTCTATCAAAAAAATGTTCACTGGAAATAATCCAATTTAAGCAAAGTTTGGGACTAGGATATAATGTCTTACAGTTGCTACACTATGTAATTAAGTACCTTTAAATAATTTGAGGTATTACTATAAATCCAGTGAAACGTATACTTAATTAATTAAATTATACCAAAGATGAGACTGACTAAAACGTGCTTTGTTTTAACAGGGGGAGAAAAGTAAATTAATTTGAATATATAATTATAGATAAATCAAAAGGACATTCGTTTCCTTCCATCCTTGAAAATAAAGATTTCTGGATTGAAAAGACCTAGTTATATCTTTAATAGAGTAAATATTTCAACATGCAAGGAAAAATTATGCCAGCATTTTCATGTAGATATTATGTTTAAGTACAAAAGGTTTGACGAAAACATTTTGATAAAAAAATAATAATATACATTTACAAATAAACCAGTTCAATTTGCTTCATAAATTATACACTTTGTGTACAAAAGTTAGCCCTTGAAAAAAAGTTAATGTTATCCATTACAGAGTCATATAAGTTGGTCCAACTATAACGAAATTCTAATGCACTGCAATTAGAACATGTTTATTTGTCTTTTTCTAATTACTACCAGAAAGGTGGCAGCAACGATGGTTACAATTGAATTAATCTATTTCAACTCACTTATTTCATTCTCGTTTTCGTATGTATTTACAATATGTAACATAAATAGAGACTGGTATCAGGAAATATATTTCTTCTATACATGTCTTAACCTTAACATTTTTTAACCTTTTCGATACCAGTGATCGGCTCTCTGCCTCCCTACTCCGTCGCAGGATATTAAAATGTAAGAACAATGAAAAAACCATAACGATTTACATATGAATATTCTGTCAGTTTTTGTTTTCGTGAAATCCCGCGGACCGGCAGGGTAGTTGAGAAACACTGTTCTAAACTCCTTTAATTTTGGACTTATCTGTACATTGGACTGAAAATTTCGCAGTAAAACTTTATAATAACAATTGATACAAATACTACTGAAAAATAGGTTTCTTGAGATTCCTTTTTCAAAGTTTGTACTAAACAGTCGTTTTAATTGTAAATTACGATTTGGGGAACTTGTAAGGCAACATGTTGGTAGTCACAAACAAAATCACCAACAATCAAATATGCTCCATCTATAATGTGGTATTCAAGGAAAGAAATGTGGGATTGTTTCGCATATAATAATGTATTTCAGTTATCTGTATATTGACTGGTTCTTCAAAGATGAGCAGTTTAGTAATATTCTCAAAGTAAACAGTTATTTTGTATTATCAGCAAAAGTATTCACTCTTTTTCAGAGTTATTCATTACCATATATCAAATGACACATACTTCATAGATATGTAGAAATAGTTTCATTAGGTCATTTAATGGCTTGATGTTGATGAAATTATATTTCCCAATATATTATTAAAACCTTCGAAAATAATTTATACTGAGAATGAATTTTAAAGTCGGATATTAAACCGGCAATTGTCGGGCAAAGCAAGAATAAAAAAGGTTTGAAATAGTAGAATTTGAAAATGTTTTTTAGTCCAATAACAGGAACTTAAAGTTTTCCCAGTTTCTCAGTGATGTTTCAACTCGATCAGAACATTTAATAAATGATAACACAGTCTAGCATCATTTTCTTACGCAACTTTTAATCTGGTATCGTCATTGCAGCAAATAACATAATCTTTTTTTATCTCTTCTACACAACAGTCTTTATCAGCAACATTCAGAAATATTTCATTTTTCCCGTTTTTCTCTCTTCGTAACACAGAACCTTAAGGTCTTTTCGTGTTTTATATCACAAAGGACAGGCTTAAGCAGTAATTGGTACGTTTTTTGAGTAGACAATACGTCATGACGTATTTAGCTCTTTCAACATGCAAGGTTTTACTGTTCGAAGTATTTACTTTTAAACTGTTAGTGTATAAAATAATTTTAGAAGTATTTGTTTTTAAACTGTTAGTGTATGAGATAATTTTAGAAATGTTTGTTTTTAAACTCTTGGTGGATGAGATAATTTTAGAAATGTTTGTTTTTAAACTGTTAGTGTATGAGATAATTTTAGAAGTGTTTGTTTTTAAACTGTTAGTGTATGAGATAATTTTAGAAATGTTTGTTTTAAACTGTTGGTGGATGAGATAATTTTAGAAGTGTTTATTTTTGAAATATTAATGTATGAAGTAGTGTCCAGAGAAGGTATTTTTAAATCATTAATGCCTGAGATAGTGATAAAGTTATTTGTTTTCAAAATATTAGTGTATGAAATATTTGGTTTTAAACCACTAGTACTTGAGATAGTAATAGAAGTATTTGTTTTTAAGATATTGGTGTATGAAACAGTGTCAAATGTATTTGCTTTTAAGCTATTAGTGCATGAGATAATGACAAAAGTATTTATTTTGAATAGTGTATGAGAAGGGGATAGAAGTATTTGTTTTAAAATATAAGTGTATGAAGTAGTGCCAGAGGTACTTGTTTTAAACTATTAGTGCATATGGTAGGTTTAGAAGTGTCTATTAAATATTAAAAATATCAAATATTAGTGCATGGAGTAGTGTTATAAGTATTTGCTTTATAAACTATCATTGTATAGAATAAGTAAGAACAGTTTTTTTACACTGTTAGTGTACGAGGTAGTGCTTAAAGCATTTATTTTTAAACTATTAGTGCGTGAGATAATTTTGTAATGGTGAAACTTGGATATATGCTAAAAAGGTTTAAAATTGTAAGGTAACTGTTATTCATATAATTGAAAAATGTATGATTTTTTTAACTCTTTGAGTTTTCCAAACCCAAACACATTTACCATTAAAAACACCTAAGTTGTATCTAACGAGAATCAGAAAGGTAATTTTATCATTAAAGTACTGAGGTAATGAGACCTTTATATTGACAGAAAATGACAAAATACTCGCGAAAGTAGTCTTTAACCCGCACAGTGTCTTATGACAAGCTGCATTAAAGAAATACAATCACTCCGTGGAGTCAGGACTGTCTGTATATTAGATTTATAGACTCGACTCTTACCAGCCTTAACAATAAGCATGCATTTGTCAAGTCTGGATGCGCTGATGCTACGCGCACCTTTTCGCAGGTATAATAGAAACAGTAGATCACTCGGGACGACACAAACAAGCCTGATTCAGTATACATACTAAGTGAGTCTTCTACGCAGTCAGCCGGCGACCAGAAGATGACTTCATCCTTTACAGGAAAAAAATCCGAGGTCCAAAATCGATGTGAAAATGTACATATTAATCAACAGGGGTCTGGTGATAAACGGTAAGAACTGTTTTTCAGAAACAATCTTTACTCAATACGTAATTTAACACACTGTGTTTGTCAGTAATTATTTTTTAACAAGAACATAGTTCATATGGGAAATTCACAAAAGCGCGATTTATACGCACTTATCCTTGTTCATTCATAATATTTTTTTACTTTGTTGTATGACGATAAAACGTTGCTTAAGCAAGTACCATGTGTATTTTTACTGTTAAAATTATTCAGTGTATTTCAGTGAATAATGCTGCTCAGGTTTATTGCAATTAATAAACCGGATAAGCATTTGCACGATTTTATTTACTGCAAGAACATGAGTATTTTTATTGTTGGAATTATTCAGTATATTTCCATAAATAATACTGCTCAGGTTTATTGCAATTAATAAATTGAGTAAGAATTTCCATAGTTTCCTTTACTGAAAATGTAGGTCCAGCATGGCCAGGTGGTTAGGGCGCTCGGCTCACAATCTGAGGGTCGCGGGATCGAATCCTCGTTACACCAAACGTGCTCGCCCTTTCAGCAGTGGAGGCGTTATACTGTGACAGTCAATCCCACTATCTGTTGGTAAAAGAGTAGCCCAGGAGTTGGCGGTGGGTGGTGATGACTAGTTACCTTCCCTCTAGTCTTACACTGCTAAATTAGGGACGGCTAGCGCAGATAGCCTTCGTGTAGCTTTGCACAAAATTAAAAAACAAGAAAAAAAAACAAACTGAAAATGTAATATATAAAAGTATCCAATAACGTTTCCTTTCCTAAGTGTTAACGACTTACCAACAATATTTTCAAGACTTATGAAAGATTATTGTTTTATATGCGTGTGTTTTTCTCGAGTAATACTATCAATAGTACTTTTGTAATGAGAAAACAAAATAAAGCTGGTTTCAAAAGAAGAACGATATCCTTATAAAATAGCACAATATTTCAGTTTTCTTTAACACTGCTTTAGATGCTTTAAGGTTATGTATGGAGTAATGTTATCCTATAATTAAAGGTATGCTTTATAAATCGTCAGTATTACAACTGTTGCATATGTATTTAACGTTCTGTATACATTATTCTGTGATTTCAAGTCATTTTGAAAACATATTGAAGCATCATATATTATTGATTTGTGAGGGGACTGATACTCATAACAACATTAATGTTTTAAGAATTGTATTTTGGTTGTCTTTTACTAACCACAGTGAACCTATATTTATATAGGGTTTGTAGGATATTTAATAATAACACTACTAAGTTATCCTTCTAAACTGTTCAGCAGACAAGCTGTTTAAGGTACTGAAAATAAATATGAAGCCCAATCTATTATTCGATTCATCATTTGTTATTGATTTATATCGATTTTATGGAGCCACACCCGTCATGGGTAACTCAGGAATAGTTTTATTTTTGTTCAGGGCTACTAATGAGAGGCGGAATTCTCAAAGCTGGTATAACTCAGTAAGAAATGGCTAACCGATTGATAATTTGAGCATATATATTTTTAGTAAAATTAGCATATGATAATTATTATATACTGAAACAAATAATTGGTTTTGACTCTTATATTATATTATTATAATAGAGTGTATCTGCATTAAGAAAACAATAAATATGTGGGGTGTGAATAATTAATTACTGTACCTGACGGTAAGTTAACCCATTTGAAGTCTCGCGCAAAGCAAGATTTTTAGTTAAGATTGTTATTCAAAGAACTTGCCTTCTTGCACATCGAAATATCAAATGACATCGTGTATATGCATCGTGGTTAAGTATATAAAATTAGAAATTGGAGGAAGTTTTCACATTAAGAGGATGTCTCCAAGTGCTAAGAAATAAATATGTAAAGTTTTAACTTTCAGTATTCAAGGGTTTGGCTGATAGAGCTTCGACAAACAGACAGAGACAAATAAATTTCTCTGGTTGTGAGTATACATCATATATTAACCTCTGTTATAGACAAGCGCCTTATTTGGGTTTGAACAACCGAGTGCATGTCAGTAATAAGTCTTCGAATGAATAAATTTTGATCGAGTAACAAACAAGACCAAATATACTTCAAATGATAAATATCCACTGGGATTTTCAAGTTAATTTCCGATAAAATTGTAATAATTGTAATCAGTTGTAATAATACCACAAGAAAGAGAGTCATCGCCAAAGTGAAAGGGATTAGATTTTACTGCAAGGAAACCGAAACATTATCCTTCTACCACGTTTCATGCACTGCTAGGATATATTATATAACAAATCAAATAGAATATGCGGTAGGATAGGTTTCAAAGTTCCAAATATTAGTTCGTCAAGAAATTAATATTGCTTTCTTTAGATGAAAAAACCCGAACAACTTTTGTAATAAAACAAAACATTTATTAAATGAAAAGTCTCCATTCTTATCGATGATGCTTTT